GTAAAATAACGGTAAAGATAGCAATAATATAATAATAAAAAGAAAAATAACAAAATAGTAATAAAAGCAATAGTAAAAACAACAATAAAAACAGTAATTATTTATATTTAATATATAAATTTACTTATTTAACTTTCCGAATCGTTATTTTCGCTGGAAACTTCTTTTTTTTGCTGCAATTCCTTTTGCAAAATCGATATATCGCTTATATTCCAGCTTTTTAATAATAATATTTTACGGCTTGTTTCCGATTTTAATTTATTACGGCTTGGGGTTATAATATTAGTAGCGGTAGAAAATAACCCTTCGATTGCAGCCGAAGTAACTAGAATTAATAAATTTTTTTAGCTAATATACTTAATATTGGAAAGCGTTTTTCGTTATTTTTCCAATATAATAAAATATCCTGGCTTTTATCGTATATATCTTCGTTTAAATATATTAAATATTCATCGTTTTTTTTTCTTTTTTTTAAAAAAATAATTCCGTATCGGAATTGCTATTATTATTATTACCGGTTTCCCCGTAAAAATTATTATTTAATTCGTCGAACGAATCGGTTATATTTGTAAAGTTTATTTCATTATTTAATTTTGTATATTCGAATTTTAATAACGCTTTTGCATCGTTTTCAATATTAGGATAAAAATTAAGCAATTCGTTATTTTCGAAATGCGATAATTTATATCGCGGATCCAATATAATTAATAATATATAAGGCCGATATTTTTAAAATATATTATTAGTTGGATTTTCCGGAAAGTATTTATCCAATTTTTTTATTCCCGATTCGATTGCAATAAAATAAGCATTGTAATAATTATTATTATTACGATTTAATCGGGTTTTTTGCTTAAAACCCGATATTAAATTGCGTAATTTTTTATAAATGCGATATATATATATAAAAATGTAATATTTATTATAATATATATTTGCCCTTGCAATTTTATGGCAAATTTAACAAATATTTCAAATATAGGAATTAAATTATTTATAATTTCAAATTTGGATTCCGTTAATATTGCTTTTTTATAATCGTTATTATCGGTATTTTTACCTACGTATATTAAAGGGTTTTTTAATTTATAAAAGGTTTTTAGCATTAAATATGTAAAATTCCAGCGGGTATTATTATCCATTGGGATTTTTGTAAGTTTAAAATTCCTTTCCAATATACCTTCGTTTTTATATTTATTAATACCTTTAATTAAAAGCTTTTTCAGTTCGTTATTATATTTTAAAATCGTTATAATTTTTCGAACCTTTGCGGTAATATTATTATTATCGTTATTATTATTATTATTATTATTATTATTTAAAAAATCGCGTAAAATATTTTTTGCAACTAAATTTAATATATGTACCGCACAACGAATATCGTAAAAAGTATTTGTAATATTTTCGTTATAATAATTTTTAAAAATATCGTTATTACTTGCGTTATCCCGCGTAATCGATAAAATAATATCGTTATTAATAAAAGGATATTTTTCTATAATATTTTTAAATTCCAAATATAAATTTTTACCGGTGTGGCTAATATTATAATAATACCGAAATATTGTGCACCGGTTATTTTAAAAGTCCAAATATTAAAAGTTATATTAAATTTACCGTTATTATTAATATAAAATCGCATTTTATCGTTAAATAACGATAAATATTCGTTATACGTTTTATTTAATATCGGTTTTAATTTTTTCCGATTTATAATGGGAGAAATTTTGGTATATATAAATTTATTTACCCTTTTCGAGCTGTATAACCCATGGGGAGCATTACGGATCGGGGTATCTATTTAAAGGTAAAAACCGTGCTTTTAGCCGATAGCTATTTGGTGTAAAGCCGGGTAAAAACTCTTTCCTTTCGAAGTATTTTTTATTTCGCGTCGTTTTTATAAATAATTGTTTGTAAAGTGTTTTCCGCATTTTTAAACGTTTGGTAAAAAAAAAGTTATTATTATTCGAAGCGAAATATTATGGTTTGGTTGGAAATTGGTTTATTTGTTGCATTTAAGTTGCGTTATTAAATGTACGTTTTCGTGCCAATTTAAAGCTTTCCCGTTGCTTTTTCCTTTTTTATTAATTTTAGCAAATGGGTTAATATATTGCGGCCTTTTCCGCCTTTTTTTTTCCAATCCTTTACGCAATTTTACCAAAAAATATTATTAGCAATTGCAAAATAGCAATAGCAACAACCGTTATAAATCCTTTTTTTTAACTTTTGCTATTTTGTAACCCATTTAACGTTTAATTGTAAAACCGCACATTTCCAGCGCTTCGTTAATATTTCGCTTTGGCTTTCCGCAATTTGCAATTGCATTATAACGCCCAAAAAAAAGGTAGTACGAAAAGGCCCATTTTACCTCCTTTTAAAGTAACGGGCAATTCCAAAAAGCGCAAAGCCCGTTATTTGTATGTAATTTTTTTTACATTTTTGCAATTTCCCGCTAACCCATTTTAATATTTTTAGCGGTTTAACCAATTGCATTACGTGCATGCGCATAATAGCCCGTAAAATTAACCTTAGCAAAGTTTGCATGCAAAATTTTAATAAATCCTTTTTGTTGTTTTTTTTAATTTTATTTTTTCGAATATTTTGCTAATAAATTGCTTTGGTTTAAATTTTAAATCGAAAAAATGTATATATTGCTATTCGAAAAAAAAGGCTAGCAAAAACGGACAATGCATTTTCGCGCTAGAAAAGGGCGTTTCGGAATCGGGTTAACGTATGTTCGACGCCGCGGAAAAGCTTAAGTCCGTAAGTTTTGCTTTTAATGCCGATAATAACTTTACGGACCGCAAAAAGCATTACGTTTGGGCGTTTAACTTTACGGGCAAAGTAAAGGCTGTAAGTTCTTTTCCTGCTTTGTTGTATCCCCCACGTCCCCGGTGCGTTGCTAATACCCTGGACAGGACTGGGAGGAAATTTTGGTATAATAATTTAATAAAGTAATAAATGAATCCGATTTTACTATATTAAATGATAAATTATTATCGATAATAAACCATAATATTTTATTATATGCGTCCATATCGTTAAAATCTGCTATAATCGTATTTTGCTTTTGGCGTTTTCGATTATTTGTTAAATTATTTGCTAAAAACGATGAAATTATCGGGTTTTGGGGTATATTTTGCTTTTTTGGCCTTATTTTTTCACTAGCTTTATTATATGCAATATTAAAATGTTTTGTTTTATAATGCCGGGCGTAATTGGACGATAAAAACCGGTTAATTTTTTCGATATTTTTATATTTACATGTAATGCATTGTATTATAAATTCCCTTTCTTTATTTATATTAATAAGTAAAAGAGTGCGGGTAAATAAATTATTTTGAAAAATATAGCTTTTTTCATTTTCGTTTAAGGGTAAAGTGTAATTTGGTTGGTTATACGGGGAGTTTTTATAATTGTTATTATCGGCATTATTATCGGTATTATTACCAAAATTATTATCGGTGTTATTATCGGTATTATTAACGGAATTATTAGTAATAGTAATATATTCCGAATTATTATCGAAAATAAAGCTGTTTGTTAATAAAGTAATGTTATCCATGTTAAATAAAAAGAATAAGTAATAAAAAAGGGTAAAAGTAAAGGTTTTAACGTAAAAAGTAAGTAGTAGTAAATGCGTAAGTGTAAAAATCGGTAATGTAAGAATAGAAAAAAAAGCAACTTACGGGGAAGCCCCACGTATATTTATATTTGCAATAAATTTTTTAAAAATTTCCATATATTAATAATGTTTTTTTTAGTATTTATAAGCAATATAAGTAATTTGTAATACTTATTTGCTAATTTAAATGCATTTGTAATAATTAATAATATATAAAATTAAAAAGAATTGCATGGAAAGTGGTAAAAATTGCTAGAAATTGCTTGAATTCCGGGATTATTTATACAAATTTACGTATTTTATTATAAATTATTATATTTGCAGTATAAATAACATTACAAATGCAATATTATTAATATTTTTACATTAATAAGCAATAAAAATTGCTAAAAATTTATTATTATTAGTAAAAACTATTGCAATATTAAAAAGAATTGCATGGAAAGTGTTACAATTAAGCCTTTGCTTTTAAAGTAAAGCATTAAAGGAGTATTAAACAGTAGCACGTAACTTAACACTTAAAAGGATTTACAAAGGATCTTGGGTGCGGTTTAAATGCTTGCTCCAAGGAATACTTAAAAGTTAATTTAAATTAATTAATGCCGGAACAGCAATTAAAAATTACTTAAAAACAAAGGACACCGGTTTTTTTTATACCCCAAGCGTTCCTTTTTGTAAGGTTAATATGTAAAATATGTTTATATTTTTATATTACCGTTAATGCTTAATATGTTAATTTCTAATATATTATTTACTTAGGTTACGTAACCAAAGCATAACCTCGCTTCCTGCTTTCCCCAAGCCCTTTCCCGTAATTTAATGCCAGTTTTGCTATCGGGTTGTAACATTAAATCCCCCCTTTAATAGCCAAAGCCCGTTAGCCACGTATTACTATCCTCCCCTCCCTTTTGTTAATTGTAAATACTATTTCTCTTTATTGTTTAACCATTTTCTTTTTTTAACAAAATGTTTAATCGAGTTTAAAAGCGCAAATTCGCTTTTTTAACTTTCCATCGGGATAATTTTTACTTTTTTATTTTTCGTTCCTTTATTTTCATGCCTTTTTGCTTAAATTGCAAAGCTAACGGTTTTTTTCTTTGCAAAACGTTTTTTAGTAATAACGTTTGTTATAAGCGGTATACTCGTTAAAAGCGCTTCCGTTGCAACATTTTGGGCTCCGCGCTTAAGCATTTCCGGGTTTACAACGCTTAATATAACCGTTGTAAAGCCGAATTAAAAACGGCCAAAAAAAAGCTGCGGGCTTTTTTTGCCAAAATTAATTGCTTGCGTAAACAAAAAAAATAATAACGGGAAAAGCTTTTTCGTGCTATTTGTTATAAAATTAATAACGTAAAAGAATTGGAACGGGTAAAACAAAAAAAAGCTATTTATTACGCTATTCCGGCGGAAACCAACCCTTTTTCTTTTTTTTTACTTAATTCCTTTGCTTTATTTCCTGGCTAAATAACGTTAAGGGTTAATTTTAACTTTAACTTGCTTTTTTCCTTTAACCGGGTAAATCGTAACTTTTTTAACAACTTTTTTTGGTTGTATAACGCAATAGTAACGCATTCGCATTCGCAACGGGAAAGTTTAAATTTAATTCTCGGTATAACTTTAATTTAAAAAGTAATTAAGCGTGCCCGAGCGCTTTTTTTGGGGGGGGGGGGGTGGGGGGGGGGGGGGGGG